CCTCTACCTACAAATTAAATCCAAAAATAAAAAAAAAACATGATTATTAATCATTCTATTTTTTGAAGAATAAATGTCAGAGACTGAATTGAGGATTGTATTGAAGGCTGTAATGAAAAGACAACGATGAGATTGAACGTTTTTTTAAGAGAGCCACCCTCTAGTCGAGATCGCCCTCAAACAGAGATTGCATACCTTTTCCAACTCTTGGCATTAGGGCTGATGACTTTCTTGTTCTGTACATCACGAGCAACACCTGGAAAGTCGAACTCAAAACCTTCGAAGCAAAAGTAAACGAAAAACACATCGTACCAACTTGGACATTTCACATATGCGTCTCCTCGACAAGCACCTGATACAATCAATCTTGCCAACTCCCCCATGTATCTGCCGCCTATCAATTACGTCTAAAATAGTAAAACAAATTGCACACTATTACGTAAAAATCATAAAAAAATATATTTCTTCAACTTACAATTAGCTTTACTTGGCTTACTTATTTTACCCAATGATCAAAAGTGAATCTTTCTCGAACTTCTATTATCAACCAATTCTTTACAATTAACTTTACTTGGTAGACATATTTATTCATTTGTCACCAAATTTTGATCTTATCTCACATATGGCATTACTTGGCTTGTTTTACCACACATATATCCAAATACTGTTTGGACCTCCTAATTTTTTGTCCCACTTGTTGTACAGAATGTGTTTCATCTTTTTTTTTTTTTTTTTTTTGAATGAATTTTCAATTATCTTCCTCAAAGAAAAAAATCTATTAAAACATGAATTTTGAATAAAAATAATTAAATATAATATATTGATATATTATTTTTTTTCTTCGAAATGAAATAAAAATAATAATAATCAATATACATATTTTAGTTCAACTCAACTCTTTCATAAATCTGCACACCCACAACTTACAAGCGATTCAACTGACACTGTGAACATTCATGACTTTGCTCCAACTCTATTGTTGGCAATATGAATACTACAATATCTAAATTAAGACCAGTAAGATGAATCGTGTTGAACAGGGAAGCGACATATAGGACATGTGTGATTCAAGTTCAACCATTTGGAAATACAGTTTGGGTGATAAAGGTGCGAGCAAGGCATCCGACTGACTTCCGACTCACCCAAAAATTCGTCCATACATATTCCACATTCACCACTACCACTCTCCCATTTCACCTTCTCCAGCGCTTCAATGGCGGACTCGGAAGCAGGAATACTTCTTTTGATCCTCCTCAATGAATCAGCAAAACTTCTACCATCTCTATGGATTTCTGACCTAAACACGCCTACACCCACCGCCATTGAGATCCTCCTGCGACCAGCTGACTTCAAATTGGAGATGATTTCATCTATGATTTCTGAAACAACGTCTCCTGTGATGCCAAAACTGAAGAGTAATCTTTTAATCTCAGATTCTTCGCGAAGCCCCAAATCCTCAACTTTAACGTGAAGAGTGGGAGCGTCTAATACCACCGGAGACTCAGAGTATGACATCATAGGTCTGATCTGGCCTCTTGAATTGTCTTCATCAGCAACCCTCAAGTGTCGATACATACATACAATTTTAAATTTAATTTTGGCTTTTCTTGATGCTATCGATGGCAAGTCATGGTCGCTTACTCGAGTCTTCGATGTGAAATAATAATCTACTAGTTGGGTCATCATATATGTATAGTTCTTCAGAAAGAGACAAGGAGAGAAAAGAAACAACAGCTAGATTAAAGAAGATGAGAGACGTTGGGAAAGAAATAGATGTATATAAATATATAGCAAGCAGTTTTCTTCTTGTTTTCCGATTAGGAAAAGAAAAAGGAGAGAGTTATTCTCTAGAAGGAAACTAATTTCTTGTTTCTTTCTGATTAGGAATAGAAGACATGGAAGAAGATTTCTGATTGCCTCCTGGGTAATCTCGAATAGGAAATCTTTCTGGAACCATGAAATTTTCTAATTATTATAATTTGTTTCTGGAATATAAAAAATAAATTACATATATGTTAAAATTTAGCGATATCGAATTAGGAAAGTAAAAAAAGAGCTGGAGCTGGTTACCTGGTTGGAGCGGGAGTTGTACATACAGAGATCTCGTATAAGTAGAGATTCCTCTACCAGAGAGTTGCTTTTGCTGCAATCAAGTAGAATTAGAAACATGACGCTGGAAGTGCAGTATCATCTCGAAGTAAAGCCTACACCATTCGTAGATTCTCCTCCATTCTCATCAACCATCATGTTTCGAATCGTCCATGTGCATCGCCGATACATCGAGGTTGAAGATGATGAGATGTACGTGCTCTCCCCCGAAGATAGGAAACTCGTGGGTAATCCTTCCATTGAAATTAATATTGACCCCTTCGGACGCCGTGAAATTGCAAAAATCACCGGTCTGCTCTATGATTTCGGCATTCCCCTGCTTATCGGCTACAAAATTGTGCGGAGAATTCGTAGGTATGTGATGACGACGATTCCCCTTCTCGTGGAAGTCGAAAAGATTACGACCTATGTACATAGGTATGGTGAGAACCCAAACATTACCAGAATTATAGATGATATAAGGGCGATCCGCAGCTTGTCGGAACCTAAAACCACCCCTGCCGCCAAGTCCGCCATTGAAGCTCTGCAGAAATTCGTCTACGATGAACAAGATGATGATTGTAAAAGTAAACAACAATGCACCATATGCATCGAAGATTTCGTTCGAGGATCTGAGCTCAATAAGATGCCTTGCTCGCATCTTTTCCACTCGAACTGCATCGTCGAATGGTTGCAAGTCAATCACACTTGCCCTCTCTGCCGCTATCCCCTTCCCTGCGAATCTTGATCTCGTATCTTTAGATTTTTCTACACTTGTCAGGAACATTCCAGAAGTTCCTCTCTCTCAAAGTTGTTAGCCTAGTTGGCTCCCAGTACTCGATGATAAAAACCTTTTGTCTTATAATATAACAAATATATATATTTTTTTATCAATTAATTATTACCACTCAATTGTTCAACTTTAATTTATTCGATGAAAAGAAAATAGTTCAAGTAAAAATAAGTTTGCAAAAATATACAAATTTATGGTAATTTATGTTTTTCGAGTAATAAATTTTTTTTATTTTTTTTTACGTCTATTCAAATTTATGATAATTAATATATGATATGTTTAATTATAAAGTGTTCAACAATTATTACAATAAAACATTTTGATTAATATTAATATTTTAATTATGTAACATAATATGTTTTTTAATTATTGCTATAGTAAATTATTTTAATTGATAACACGTTAATTATTGTAATTAATAATATTTTAATTTACATATTATTTTATATTACATATAACTTGAGTTTATGATTATCATTAAATACTTTATATTTATTTATTATTTATTATAATTAATGATTGGTAATTATATTTTAATTTATATAGGATAAGAACTTTGGACAAGTTAATTACAAAACATAAATATCATTGACTAACCTATGTTATTCATATTGAGAAATAAAAAATAAATATATTATAGTATAATTATATTAATTACAATATATTTAACCGCCTGTTAAATATATTATATTACATATAATTTGAGTTCGTGCCATCGGCTCCCATCTGCCTGACCGATCCACTTTCTCTCTTGAGCGGAAACGAAAACCTCGGATTTCTCTTCGCACGCAGCCCTTTTCTTCACCTTGTCTCCTCCTTCATCTATACACAAGGTAATAAGCCTCCGACGAGAACGTCGAGATCTTCCCCCGTCACTGTTCAAGCGCGGACTCCGTAACACATCGAGGTAAATTTTTTGTTTGTTCCGACTTAAACTAATGCTTTTTTGCTACAATTTCCGGTTTGATTTCTTATACATTCTCCAAGCTTTACTGGTTACAGCTTTTATTTTTGCTTTCTGCTTGCTTTCGTTGTCCTCTGCTGCTCTTTACTTGGTTAGATGATTCGTGGAGTCTGGTAAAATTCGGATGTTTCTAACATGTTTGTTTTCTTGTTTCCTGTCACTCGTTGTTTGTTAATTTTGGATTTTATATGAAAATTTCTAGATATTTAGGTTGTGTAATCCATCTCGTGTGGGGATCATCTCTTGTCTGATATTCGTTACTCCTAATTGTCTTTACATTTGTTTTCATAATATTTTGGTGTTGTAGGCTGGTTTCCACATTTTCTTTTTACGAGTCTAGTAATTTCTTGTTTTGCTTTCCCAGAGGTTCACTCAATTTATGTTCTGGAACTTTTATGCAAGTTCATTGATAGTCAATAGGTATGTGTGTTAGGTTTGGTTTGGTAATTATTTCCTTTTTATGAATCTAGTATTTCTTGTTTAGCTTTCCCAGAGTTTTATTCAATGTATGCTTTGGAGCTTCTATTCAAGTTCATTGATAATCAGTAAGTATGTGTTAGGTTTGGTTTGATAATTATTACTACTCTTTTCATGGTCGTTCATCCTTTGTTAGCTTGAACCTTGAATATTTTTTGTGTGTCTTGATGGAAGAGTCTTGATATTGCAGCTTTGGTTAAAATCACTAAAACCATAATAATAGACTCCAAAATTATGATAATGGATTCCTAAATAATATAACCGTTCTTTAATTTAAAAGGATTACAACTTCAATTTACTCAAGTTAACCTATTTTGCATCAGTATAGATTGAATTTCTAACCTATTTAGTTTTCTATTTGCTGTGAGTCCAGTCTCCACTAATAAATTCCAAATGATGCTAAGGGAAGACAGAACACTGCTTCTTTGAATTCAATTCATTCTGATCCGGTTTGCAGGAGTGTGGGTCAGGTGGGGTTTGGAAGAGTCCTTTTAACACTTCAACTGAGCAGGATTGGCAAATAATGCAGACACCAAAAGCGAGGTAACATTGCATTCATTATGTGCTTTTCTATTGTGTTTTTATCTAATTTTTCCCTTTCAAATTTAAGCAATTATGT